AAGCTTCTGTCAATTATGGATCATTCAAACTATTTATATAAAAATATGTAATAAAGTTCTAAAACAAGTATTCGGTATATTCCTTGATAGCTTTTGGAGAAGGTTGTTTTTAAGTTTACTAAAATCTATCGTTTCAACTGTTTCACTTTATAAAAAGGGAACAGGTGAGTAAAGCATCATTGAGTTTCTTATTCTGTCAGTAAATTATCCAAATGAATGTTTTTCATTATTTTAGTCAACCCTAAACAAATTGATTGTACCTTTTAATAATGACCTTACATGGTCAGCAAAGTTAAATTACCTTCAGAAAATCAAATCTGTTCTGAGAAAAAACTAATAAATGTTTAAAGATAGGAACTTGCCATCCCACTGAAAAACAGTCCGTAGAGATTTAAAGGCGTAGTTGTAGTTCAGTCCAACGTTTCATTTGGATTCATTTGACAACAGTCAACTATTTTCATAAAGATTATATATATTTTTCAAAGTCAACTTTATTGTCAATCTTACTCAGTTTGAGAGATCAAAAAGACGTTTAAATACAATTATACAATTTACAGATATGTATACAAATATATATATCCTATATACACCATCATGTATAATGATGGTGTATGATGTAGAAGGAAGTGTGGTAGATAACAAGTAAATATAGAGTTACATACAGATCCATGTTACAGCAAAAGATGGAATAACTAAGAAGCACGCAGTATAATAATAATTACATGCAACAATTAAATAACTGCTCAGCATCTCCACCACAATCCCAATCTGCTGTGTCCTGTTTTCCTCCCCTCTGCATAACACCCCATCACACATACGAAACACAACGCAGAGTCCGAGGGTGTTAAGAGTATGTTTATTGAAATGTCCTCCTCTCTACTGGCCAACACAGGGAGCATATGCTGGGTGTAGAATTGTTCCAGGAGGAGGAGATTTCCATGCCATGCAGGGTCTTTGGGGATGGGGATGATGATCGCCTCCTTCGTGGTCCACACAACAAAGTAGCAGAGACTCCGGTCTGTGATGTGCAGCTGCCCTTGGACCTGGTGCCAGTATGGGTGATTCTCCTTGAGAATATATGACCCACCCTCCTCACGGAGACAGAAGGATGGTAACTGGACTGCCTCCGTGATGGTCATGTTCCTCTGGCTGTGTGGACACTTCACCTCCAGCAGGGCAGATGGCTGCACAAGTCCATCGGGTGATGCTCCCAGAACACCCGACTCACTCACAAAGAGACCAGACTCGATTCGAACACTGTCACTTGATAGGCCTCCACAAAAGCCTTCACCCCTTCGGCCTCGTTTACAACCCCCCAGGTTGACAGTTGGCGATGTCTCTGGCCAGTGGGTTGTATGTCTCCTCTCGCTGATGGTAAAGTTGAGACACCGGCTGGACTACTTTGGAAGTGCCAGGCTTCCTCCACTGGCACTCAACATCTGTGGAGCTGATCTGCCACATGGCAAATATTGCCAATGCTGCAGCGTGGCTGCATTTGTACATCTCCTGTGCACAATCACAGACAGCGCTCTGCATCGCGCCATCGTCTCCCATGCAGATCTGTAAAAATAAAGTAAGTACCATTTGTTAGCATGCTATAATAGATTGAATGAGCAATAATACAAGGATGGTCCGGATCTGGGGGTGGGAGGGTTTATTTTTCCATAGTTTTGTCCTCTTGTCTGTTGTTATTGTTTGTTTTTCTGTATTTTTTGTAATTTGTGTTGTATTGGTTGTGATTGTACATTGTATTTTTCTAAATGTGTATGAATACGTTTTTGAAAAACATTTGATCAACAATAAAAAAGGATTTGGTCAGGATCTAGACTCAGTGTGTAGTTTATTAATTAATCAATGCTCTCTACATTAGGAAAACACATACCGGTGTACCAGAGGGAGTCACACACAGCTGTGACTAGATAACCAAAATCCTTGAATCGACACACAGCAAATAAACTCAAATGACACAACGAGAAAAAGGAGATCACACATACAGTATAGTCGATATAAAACTGGCCGCTTCAATCTGAAGAGCAACTAAAACAAAACACGGGAGTGTACCTTGTTCTTGTGAACACTAATGTTATCCACAGCATACACAGAGACCACGAAGTTCTTAAGGAGAAAACTAGTTGCTAAAACAAAACACGTTAGTGTACCTTGTTAGCTAATGTTAGCTAGCTGACATTAACGTTACACATTGCACTCATATTACTCACCGAAACCTTGTAAAGCCGGTCCCGCATGCTGGCTCTTACAGAACCGACTAACTCCCCTTTCATATAGGTACAGCTCTCAACGTGCCCAGACTTGTAGTGATTTTCACCTCGTAAAATACTTTTATTCTCATTCTGAAAGAATGTGGTGAAATGTGCTAACGTGACGGCCATCTTTATGTTGGTGACGCGTGTTGTGCGAGACGAGAGACCTGTAGTTCACTGAGCGGTTTCACACGAAAAAATGTGTAACTTCACAGTTTTACGACACATTTTTATTTTTTTGACTTGCAAAATGTTCTTTTAAATTGAAAAACATCATATGTGTCATTCGTGGCACAATTCAAACGGGATCAAAAGATAACCTTTCTCTCTCCATTGACTTCAATGTATAATTTTCCGCTTCCGGGGTCCCATGGAGGCTTTCGGAAGGGGAGGGACTTCGCCTCTCTATGGCTCCCTCCTGTCAGATGGAGGGTGTTACAGCCGCTACTTTCATTATGCCATTAACTCTGTTTGTGTGTGCATATGTAAATGAGCTGTGCAGTTCCTCTGCTGTCATTGGCCGTCCCGTCCTCGCAACATCCGCGGTGATTGGACGGACGTTATCCAATCCCCGCCCGCTTCTGCCAGGTCAACCGGGGTAGGAGTACAAAGGCCGGGCACGGACATCATTCAGGAGGCTCTGTATTGTGGGACAGACGCCTCAAGCCTCTCGTTGTGTTGCCGCCATATCCTGTGATTCGTTAGACTGCCTAGCAGTGTGTTAAGTAGGGTTCCTGTGTTAGTTACACTGATTAGCAGTGTGTTGTAGTGTTCTGTGTTTAGCATTGGTGTGTATATTGCTTAGACCCAGGTGATTAGCGCCTGTAGATCAGCATTGGTGTGTGTACTGCTTAGACCCAGGTGATTAGCACCTGTTGATCAGCAACAGCTGTGGTCCCACACAGCCTAATTTTGTTTATTATTTTGTTCCACTTTAGAAGTGAGGTACTTTCTTTCTTTTGTATAATACTGGGCAACTCTCTTTTGGAGACCCCTTTTGTTAAATAGTAACAGTTTGACCCGTTGTTGGGCCAGGCTGTTCGTGTATATCCTTTTGTTCATTTACAGTTACAAATAAACCACTTGTAACATATACCAATTCCACTCTGGTCGTGTCGTTTCCCTTTGGATCCCCTAGCCCAATAGGGAACGTAACAGAGGGAGTAAATACAGCGGCAAGCTTTGGGACAAACTCCCTTCTCTCCGGCAGAAACAGGAAATGTAACTGTATGTAACAACTGTTTCAAATCAGCATCTCTTAGACAAAACATTAACATTAATAACTAAAATAAAACTCCAAACATCTTTAATTACGTTACTATTTTGTAAAGCTCTTTTAGTTTTAAATCTGATTTTTATAAGCTTCTTAGTTTTTGCAATAGTCTTTAAATATACACAACTTTATAATAAAATGCACACATTTAGCTTTTTCTAGAGTAAACACAGGTATACAATCCTAAATTAAAAACATATGAGGTTATCATGAGGTTGTTAACATCGCAGTTTATCAGCGGATGTTTGCTGGAACTGTTTGTAAACAGCGTGTTGGTAGAGACCGGTCTCCAGTCAGCACCGATGCAGACTCGCTGTTTGAGGGCTTGATAGCCCACTCCCCCTCCACACCGCTCCACACTCGTTGGTTTGGAATCGGAATCACCAGAATCGGACACTGAAGGAGACGAGGTTTCGGTGGAAGTGCAAATATCTCGGTTGCAGCAGGACCTTTCTGAATGGTTAGTTGATACACTTTTGTCCCTTATTTTACGTTAGCTCTGTTAGTTGCTACGATGTTTGCTACTTACACCGTTCATATTTTGTCTAATTAGCAAGAATAAAATGTGTAGTTTGTAACGTAGAGTTTATAACGCAAAAACAGCGGTAGGCTACATATATGTATATCATACAATAAACATGTATTCATTTATTGACTTCTTTATGCAGGTGTACATGTGGAAATTGCGCCACAATGCCTTCTGAACCTGAGAATGTGTGCTGCATTGAGATACCACAGGTAACATTTTTGATAGCTTCACTAAGTTCTCTGTTTAGAGAATACATTTTTGACATGTCATTCAATATATGTTTATCTCACTAGGTGTCAAGACGGATGCAGGAACTTGAGGACTCGGTGCGTTGTATCGTGGACCATCCTGGATTGGAGCCTGTGTGCCTAAATGTGTTCTCCCTGCAGAATGCATTGAATATATACAGAGCTGAATATGGGAGACTACAGATGAGGCAAATACAGCAGTGAGTGGTTTGTTTCTTTTGACTTAATTTCTAAAACGTATGCTAATATTGTTCATGAAAATAAATACTGGTGTATATGGTTTTATGCAATCTTTCATTTCATTCTGTCATTGTACATGGCATTACTATTATATTATATACTACACAGCAATGGCATAACACACACCATTGTTGATGACAAAAAAAGTCCACACACAACCTTATGCTTTTGAAATCAGCATATACTTTACCCATCCAACATGAATAATCATGACACATTTGATATAAACTTTCGGAACTTTATTGTTAAAAGCAAAAGTTCTTTGAACCCATACAAATAAAGTAAATGTACTTGTATTTTACTTAAATGACAGGCTTTTCACTAAATATTCTTTGAAATTATTTCAGGCGTCACAGGTATCTAGCTTACAGAAGTTTTGTGAGCTGGTGCTGGGGCTTCCTTGGACGCTTAATTAGAGTAGTCATTCCGGCCTGCGTTGTCCTCAGGGAGTTTCCTGATCCGCAAAACGTCTATGTTGGGTTCAGACAGCAGCCAAATTGAACCGTGAAGCATAACCTGCGATGACCTCCCTCAGGTCGCTCATATTGGGAACACAGGTCCTCTGGGATGGGTATCTTCAAAAGCTCCTGTGTGAATGGTGCAGGGTCCACAAAGACTTGGTTGAAGATGAGGTCCATCAAGTTGGCAACGTAGCCTGTGCAATATTAAAAAAAGCAAAACAAATATTTGGTTTAGATTTGTGTATGCATGTGAAAAAACTGAAAGTTCTTTCTACTTTTTTTTCAGATATTGTTTATTTTATAATTTGTTGTGCAATACATACTTCATTTTAAAATGTAGAAATGTGAATATTACTGGCACTTTAATAGATTTATTTTTCATGTGCTTGTGTCCTAATTTATATGGAAGTCTACTCTTTTACTTCTGCCATTGTTGTTGTAACGCTGCAGTTTTTTTTTGAAAGAGATTTCAAATGTGAAATATCCAATGTAACGTGTACATTTTGTTGTGTAAATAGTTGTATAATAAATATTTTAAACACTTACGGAATGTGGGGTCAGTCTTTATGGGTTTTGCTCTGCATTCTCCCTTCCTGGCCTTTGGGAACTGCAGTTTATACAGAGGCTTTCCAGTGGATGTAGAGGCTTGTGCACGATCAGCGTTTTCATTGTAGTGCAGGGCTACCAGGTACAGTCTTTAATTTCCGTAATGAGAACAAAAAATGTACATAATAGCAAAGGATGTACAAATTGTCACTAATTATAAGTAACTATGGTTTATTTTACCTGCACAACATTCCAAGAAATGGAAACACAACATTCTTTAGAGCAAAGCGCAGGATGACGCCGTGGAATGCCTCCAAAGATGAAGTCTGGTGGTGGGGGCTGAGTTTGGCCACAGCTTTCAAAATCCTCTTGTTTAAGAGAATTTTCTCCAGCTTGCAAAAGGCCGGCGTTCCTAAGAATTTGAAAATCAAAAGTCATATTTGTTATTATAAATATTTGAAATTGTCATGCTTTATAGATTGTGTCTGACAACATCCTGTATTCAATAGTTGTCCCTTACACATATTTCTAGAGGAGTAATGTAATATGGTTTATGAACAACATACCTGTTGCCATCCATTTCCTTTTATCGGTGGTAATGCACAGTGGATGAAGGCACTTAGGGAACAGGGGGTCATCATGAGAGTGGACATCCTGCACGTGGTTCAGGATGGAAGTCCATTTGGCCACTCTCTCAGGCCCGATGGTGGAGGTTGCTGCAGTCCAGTATATATAGTTTCTTATACTCTTCATCCACTTTCAAAGTTTTTCGCAGTCCTTCATTTTTGCAGCCTTATCCAGTTGCTTAGAAATCCCTAATAAATACATTTAACATGTAGTTAATATACAAACAAGTTGACTCAAAATATTATTCTACACTGTAAAATAATACCATGATTTCACAATATTTAGCTGTAATATTTTACAATAAATTACTGTTTTACCACTTTACAGTCTTTACCTGTAATGTTCACAATATAATACTGTCATTTTGAATTTCACATTGAAATCAATACATAATAATTACTGTGAATGTACAGGATAAATGATTACCAAGATTTCACAACATGTTACTGTATTATTTCACAGTAAAATACTGTATTCAGACCATCCTCTGTGATAACACAACAAATTAAGTGATTTTCTTGCTTTCATCGCTCTTGCTTGGCTTTAAATACTAATTTCTTTCTTTGGTGCAGGTTTTACTTAAATTGAAAGGGGCACCGCTGCATGTGCCTTAAAATAAACGATGCAACATATAAATCTATGTAAAATTGAAATGATTGTCTTGGCTTATTTTTTTCAGGTGCTTGGGCATTAACCCTGAGACGGGCTCGAAAGCCAAAAAGAGGCATGGCAATTTAAACCCCCATGTCAGCACATTCTTCAGAAAACTTGTTGACTTTGAGTGGATGTCTGCACTTGTTACGTGCTCCCCTCCTTGTTTTCTGTCTGTCTCCCTGCTGCAGGTGCACCTGGTCTGCCCCTGGCTCCGCCTCTGCCCAGGTGCACCTGGTCTGCCCCTGGCTCCGCCTCTACCCAGGTGCACCTGGTCTGCCCCTGGCTCCGCCTCTGCCCAGGTGTTCCAAATTCCACTCAGCCGTGTATATATAAAGAGAAGCTGGAGGAGAAGGATGTCTCGCCTGTCCTAAGGCCGGGAGACACTCTCCTTAGAATATCTCTTTGCCATTTTGAGCTGAAGGCCATATTGCAGGTGTGTTTATGTTTAGCCTGGAGGACCTGGTAGGCTTTATTTTGTTTACCATAGGGTTTATATTTGATTTCTGGTTAGGGTTAGGGTTGGGGGGGGGTTCTGGGTCCTACGGCCCGTGGTGTGGCTGGCTCGGGTTCCTTCCTTCTGTTTGTTCCTTTTGGCCACTCCTCCAGACCTCTTGTTGTTTCCCGTTTCGCTTGTGTGAGCAAACGGCTGATTATCAATAAATGCTCGTTACCAAGTATTGTGTAGTTATGGTAAAATCCCAGTGAACTAGTCAGATTTACAATATATTATCGTATTATTTACATTTTTATATTTACAGTAAATTACTGGCTACTGTGTTGCATTACTTCTACAGTAATAGTGTGAAAATAGAGGTAATTACTGTAATTGATGTACATCAAGGTACCATAATACCACAGCTCTGTACTGCTATATCACAGTAATTCCATGGGCATGGCAACTGCAAAGTCACAGTATGTAGTTGTACTTTTATTCTAATTTACTGTAAAATATATACAGTAAATTACTGTGAAATATTCACAGTCAATTACTGTGAAATCCATGCAACTAGTAGCCAGTAATTTACTGTAATTTTACAGTCAAACATTTTACAGTGTACTGATGTGATTGTAGGAAGCCGGGTTTGTGTCTAAATAAATTGGTGATTTTACTTACAATAGATTTATTTACATAGAAATTAATATAAAGAAAAATACCTTTCTCTATGTTCCACACATCAAACAATTGGGTGATGCTGCTTTCCCTTAGGAATTTCTGAATTTGCAAATGTCTGTCCGTGACAATACAGTCCAGAGTCACACCACGTTCCTTTAACAACTCCAGACTCCTTTTCAGGCCTTCTAACTCCATGTGTTAGCTTCCACCAACCTCATTGCTCTGTCATGACACATACAAATAACCATTAATACACACATTTTAAAGATTAATATAACGTGCAAACAGTACGGTGCTTCGGTGGGTCAGTCTGACATGCAGAATCTACCATCACAGGTAATCTGCTGGTAGTATGTGAGGTGCTGGCCTGTAAAGAAGAAAACATAGTTAGAACAAAACCATCTCAATTTAGTATTCAGGATTAGAAAATACTATTTGGATAATTATAGTCTGAAATCCCAAAAGATGGGGGCTAATATTTAGCAAAGCTCTTTGCTTAGCCTTTTCCAATCTGAGTACGTTTGGAGCCGTAACGTGCATGCTGTGTTTCTGACAGGATACAGATGACGTGTTGGAGAGGGGCTGAGCTCAGTAGACTGACTGTAATGAGTGCTAGCCACTAGTTAGCCTGTTGCTGGAGGTAAGGCCCCGTCAACAACAACAAACCAACGGTGCTTTAGCTCGGTTTTACTCGTGGTGTGTCTCCCCCTTGCGCACATACACACACTGTTGTATCCTAACAGTCGTGCACACACACACCCATTTAAATTCATGTGCGCTAACCAGAGGTGGGAGTAAGTCCTACATGTGCAAGTCATGAGCAAGTCTCAAGTCTTGACCTACAAGTATCAAGCAAGTCCCAAGTCACTGTGATGAGAGTCAAGCAAGTCAAGTCATTGCTCAGGTCAAGCAAGTCAAGTCATACGAAATTCTGATGAATAAGCCTAGTTTCCGCATTTAAAATCAGTTAAAAGACAGTGGTTATGAAAACGGATTCAACCCACACTATGATCTTCATTACATACATAGTGAGTTAATCATTTGAAATCTAATTTAGACCGATGACAATCATATTAGATTAATATTAACCCTAGAACTGCAGACAATATAGCTAGGACTCAATCAAAAAGTCTGTTAAAAAAGGCAGAATTCCAGGTAAGAAAATCAGATATGGCATTTGCCATTACACATATTTAATTGAAATGTCTGTTAACACTAGAACCGCCAACAGCGTCAGCAACTACATCAATATCATTTTCAAATCATTTAATTTGTTCCTCTTCATAATTTCCTTATAAACTAAGTAGGACGATTTAAAACTCACTTAATTGGGTTAATTTAGAAATTTCTTCAGTTTATCATCAAACAGATCAAAAAGTTCAGAATCATTTTTACAATAAATCAAGGAATGATGCACTTCTACAAACAAAAACAACATAATTAAAACATTTAAACAAACTACTAAAAGTAGATGAACTACATTATTCAACAGTTTACAGTAACTTCTGATAATAACACAGGAGAAATAAACGAGGCATCTCTTTTCCTCTCTCTCTCTCCATCTCCTGACAGCCCGTCAGTATCGGGGTTAGTCAAAAATAAATCCCTTGGCGGTTCTAGTGTTAATTTACCGTTTTGTCTTCTCTTTGCAATGCTTAATCGATTTGAAACCAAGTCTAACGTAGCTTAAACTTAACGTTAACAAGCAAGTCTCAAGTAAAAAAAAATGTCACTCGAGTCTGACTCGAGTCAAGTCATGTGACTCGAGTCCCCACCTCTGGCACTAACCAGTAAACACAAAAGCTTTTACATATAACGTTGCAAAAAACAGCGTCTCATTAGTGTAGCGTAGCTTAGTTTACAGATCGAAGATATCTGATCATTCTTACAGACTACAATCACAAAAGCTTGTACAGATAACGCTGCTCAATACGGCACTTAGCTACAGAAGATTACGTTTGTTATTATAACTTAATTTATATGATTTTAGAGGATACTAATAAATACGAGAATAAATACTTGTGTAATCTGCTATGGCGTGGCTTTACAGCCTTCACACAGATCGCCATTGCGGCAGTATGTCTGAGCATGTTATCAAATGCCTGATAATTAAAATAAAAGCAAAGACAGCGGAGGGTACAAAATAAAATAAAATGTTACAAAAACATATACACCTAACCGATTACTGTTTGGGTTTGAGGCGACGGCGACATTGATACGGTGAAGCTACATGCTATAAGCTAGCTAGCTTTATCAGGAAAAACATCGCTCAATAAAAACTTACAGCTTCCAAATTGGATGTGGCCTCACTGGCCTGGTCCCGGATGGTGGGTATTGATCCCGATTTTAGCCTTAGTTTGGAGGCATATCCTTCTTTGACTTGAGTGAAGTTCATAAACATGTCCGGGGCAAAATGTTGTGAACACACAAGCAGACATCTGCTGGAGTCTTCTGCCACATGTCCCTGGAAAATAAACTCTAGCCACAGATTCTTCTCTTTTTCCAGGGATGGCATTGCATGCAGTACCTTTCCCTTGTCCCGATTCTTGCAGCTAACAACGGCACAACGTTTAACTCCCTTGGACATCGTTGTTAGAGTAGGCAAAAACACAGATGTGACTCGGGGAGCTGTAGCCTGCCGACAGCCTATATGCGAATGACAGGTTGAGCAATGGCCGTGGCCCAGCCCCACATTCCCCTGATAGGTGGAGAAGGGTCTAGCTGCGGCCGCGGACAGTACACAACACTACACGACACTACATAACAATAAACTACCCAGTATGAACGTTTGTATAGCCTTTATTAAAAACATTCGTTCCTCAAGTTGTAAAAATTTGCTAATAACGTTATTCTGAGAGTTATTTCCCTCGGCATTATGAACGCGCATCTAACCCACGGGACCGCGCCGCCCGGCACGTTCATGTTACGTGTTCAGTACTACATGAGTTTCTCTTTACCCATGGATGCACAATAACAACGGACCATATCGCCTTACTGCCAGCCCACGGAGCTGTAATAATGGATATATTGCACATGGTTGCTGTAATTCATCATTTGTAAAATATTATACTACATGGGCTGTATGATGTAAATCTTGTACCGTAAATGTTGTATTAAATAAAGTTAATATTACCGACGTAGATTAACGTTCCTGTAGCTTCTTATTGCACTTGCAATTGTTTTAGTTACTTGTGGGCTACTTAACATGAATAATCACAGTTACTATCCTTTTACTCCATCACATTTCAAAAAGAAATAGGCTATTGTTATTTTAACTCCACCACAGTAATCCATCATCAGCTTTACTTTTTAGATAAAGTTTTAACTCACAATTGATCATAACAGGCTTCAACATATACATATTTTTTATATATTACCAAGTGGTTTCATGTACAACCCACACAAGTATCATACTAAATTAAGCTCTGTTGCTTGGATATCACTAGATCCTGATGTCAGCGTAATATAAAAGTACATAACGATTGATGTGTAACTTAGCATAATTTACTAGCTAGCCGCTAGCTGCTAACTGCCGCCTCGTTAATATAAATCCAGTACCATGCTGTCATGAACGCGTGGTGCTGTTACGTGTACGCAAATTCACGTGCTTAATGTGAACGAGCCTTTTGGGCGGCGTGGTTAAAGTTGCGCATGCTCTATGAGTGCACATACGGGTACTTCTCAGGCATGCCGGGTAATCTGGGACGTTAAGCTCTCTCAAAAGTTGGGCCATTTTGTCATCATGCGCTAATGAGCAACTCTCATAGGAATGAATGAGGCCCCGCCTCCCACGCTGTATCCAGTTCTTATTATACATCCATGAGCTAGACCCTTCTCAGCCACTGTAGTGTCGTGTCAGGTGGGCGTGTCGTGTAGTGTCGTGTAGTGTTGTGTACTGTCCGCGGCCGCAGCTAGACCATATTGGATAGGTGGAGAGTTGGCCATATACAGTAGGCGCAGCTCCTCGTTCCTGACGTCAAATACATTTCAAATCCGTATCAGTCTGTATCAGATCCGTTGCAGCCCCGTTTTTAGAGATTTGGGTATGGACAGTGGTGTAGTGGGCGTTGGACGCGGGGGTACGCCGTACCCCCACTTATTTGGAGCATGATCTTTTTTTTAAGACTAATAAATATAAAATCATTGCCAGTGTTATCAGTTGCAAGTGTGTATTTGTTGTAATAATGACGAAAACATAATACATTTCACAGTAATTATAATAAAAAATAAAAACGATTTCCTTAAAAAAGTATGATTCATCATCACGCTCGTGGTCACTGACACACCCACGGCGAGCCAGCTCGCCGCGCCCGCCGATTTTGCAGCAGCTCTTTCCCTCAAGAACACTAACGAAAAAGCTCGAAACTGAACGAAAAAAATGGCAGGCTAACATGTTTTACTTGACTTCCCAAGGTGTGTTTGTGTGTGTGTGTGAAAAGCAGCGCTGTCTGCTTATTTGCAATGTAGGCTAGGCCTAATCAGAATAATGTCAAGTCCAGATTCAATGTTGTTTGCATAAGTATGGCTATATTTTTCAAAGGAGAGAGAGAGAGAGAGAGAGAGACGAGAGACCGGAGCATAGAGAGGAGAGAGACGAGAAGTGAGAGAGAGAAGAGAGACACCGAGAAGGAGAGAACGAGGAGAGAGAGACGATGAGATGAGAGATGAGAGAGAGAACGAGAGAGAGACGGAGATGAGAGATGACTGATGAGATGAGAGAGAGAGAGAGCATTGTCTGCTAGTTGCCAATATAGCTTATGCAATTTAGGCCCTAATAAATTGTTTTTATTGTAAACTTTATTGTTGCCAGTGTGTCAATGTTTTGAGTCTGTGTGTGTGTGTGTTGAGCGCAGCGCCCGTCTGCTTTTTGCAGTACAGTAACTAAAGTAGGACTAAGCATACCGGTAGGTTTCTGTGGACCTGTCTGCCCGTTTTGTGAGTGCACTGCGCGCATGCGCACTTGTGTGGCATTGTTTGGGATGACCTAATTAAAATAGCGTCCCCCCAGTAAAAAAATCCCCACTACACCACTGGGTATGGAGGAAAAGAGAGAGGGTTGTGTTTTCTGACACTTGGTGAGTTCCCTGGAACACCGGGGACACATATTAATGTATAAAAGACGTACAAAAGTGCATTTTGCATGATAGGTTCCCTTTAAGTAAAAGCCTCCATCTTCCTCTCTTCCAGGTGAAGAAGGATCCAGACTAATGGCGTAATAATCGGGCAGTTCGATGTGTTTTACCATAAGAAAGTATCTTGTGCGAACCAGAAAGTATATCTTGTGCGAACGAGAAAGTATATCATGCGCACAAATTAATGAAACGTGGCCTCGTTTTATTTATTTTTCTCTCTATGAATCCTCCAGGGCTACGTAATTATCTGCTCTTTCACCAGAAATCTTGGCAGATGTAGTATTCCTCATACCACATAAGCCTCGTTGCATAACGAAGTTGAGATGCGCCCGATTGTCCGATTGCATTATGAGATGATTCCCTTCATTTTTTAAATGTTTCTGTATTTCAGTTTCTACTGTCTGCTTCAAGTGAAAAGCCCCCCTCCCTTAGGGGAATTCATCCACAAAAAACACACTGGACGCTGCACTAGGTCAGAAACCAGAGAAGACTGTGAAGTCCACCGTAGACGGACCACTTTCGGTCAAAATGTACTATCAATTAAGGGCAGCTCATTGTGGAATAGCCTCCCAACTGAGATACGAGATTGTCCCACTTTGAACAGTTTTAAAGGTCAACTAAAAGAATGGTTGAGAAACAAACAAACGTGCAATCACTGCTAAATGCACTTTAATACATTTTTGCACTTTATGTTGCTCTTTTATCTTCTCTTGCACTTTATGTGTCGTAGATGCTACATTGTACTGCCATGTGGTTAATGCTTGTATGCTGCTCATGCTCTTTCTGCAAATCATGTATTTATTTTTGCTCTATAAATGTCAAGTTCTTAAATGTTGTATGTGAGGGACTACGGATGGAAATGAGCTAAATGCTAAAATCCGGCATATTTACATTTTAAAGCATTAATTGTTAAAGATGTTCATCAATGTGCATTGTCCCTCTTCAAGTAAACGAATAAATGAAATGAAATGATGATATAATAGTGCTTACAAGGAAATACATACAATAGTTGTTTGAATTCCTGATATAAAAGTTATGTAAGAAAAATCTCTTACAATTCAACTCATGAGTCAACACAGTGTAATCAGTTTAGTTGGATGGCCAGTGTCCTGAGTTCAAGCTCGTCCGGCTCTTTTCCCGCCACGCCGCCGCTCGTGTCCTTTTCCTTGCTTTTGAACAGCCTCCCCAGTTTCATCGACAGGGTGTTCAGGGCGGAGCGCTTGTCCGGGGTAAAGCATCTGCGGTTAATGTGTCCGCTCCGGGTGAAGGTAGACGTGGTCCTGTTCTCCGAGCTGGTGGCCTCGAAGAGCTTGCCCATGAAGCTGAAGCCGGCCTGGCGGATGTGGGAGCTGCCGGCAAACACGTACAACATGGGATTGACCGCACTGCTGAAGTAAGCGAATGCCGTGACATTTGGACGGGCTGCAAGGGCGACTGTAACAGCGGATTTACTGTCCTGCAAAAAGCCCACCACCTGTTGAAGGGAGAAGAGGGGGGATATTAATAAATAAATCACCTAACTGCTCTGGTAAATTCACCCTCATGTATATTTCCACAGCTCTTACTCCATCAATTGAGCAGAAGAGCGTCAGAGTGTCATACTCAGCTCACTTGTTCATTAGAGTCAGATTGAAAAATAAAAGATGTATCTATAGATACATCTTTTATTTTTCCTGTAGCGAATGTGAATCCTCTGGCCTATGCTTATCTATGAAGTTCCCCTGGGGCCTGAGCAGCATTGGGATTTACGGGAACAGCAGTAAGCTCAAGTTTCCCCTTCAGCTTGGTCAAGGAGGAATTTATTGTGGCATGGTCACGAGAACATCTGAAGAGCACAGGATCGAGGGACTCCAAAGTGGAAGGCACAGGGATTGTTCTGTGGACAGGGCGGAATTTGCGGAAGACCGAGGCAGTCCAGCAGACGCAGGCTCGGTTTAGGCACAAGGACCTCATTGGGAGTGTGGCACAGGGCAGGGCCAGACTTGGGAGCGCAACATCCATCCGACATGGCACCGCCACCAGAAAAGAGAGGCAGGAGCTGGTGCATGCATGAACAGCTGCTCCAAGGCACTGAGAGAGTGGCGCTATCACATGGAGATCAGTGAAAGCAGGTACACCAACGCTACAGAAAAACCCATCATGTTGTTACTAGGTGGGGAAGCGGCTGAAGAAAAGACCAAAGGACTTGGCTCTCCATGGCCCGAGACAACATATTCTCACTCCTAACTCGGCCTATGTTGACGTTATGTCAGGGTCCCTGTCGTCACTTTCCAACGCCCTTTAGCGTCGAGTTTCAACTATCAGGGCGTCCCATTGACTTGCGTAGCTCCCTGAACGTTGGTAATAGACGAGTTGGGATCGCGGCGAAATGCTCGCCGCAGACCCATTCTCACAGCGTTTATCAACCTTTTTCTAACTCAATATCAAGCCACACTTATTGTGTTTACTTCTTTATTTTAATTGAATAATGTCGGACTTTTGTTGCCGTCAGTTAGGGGGAGAGTAGGGGCTCAGAATACTCAAATCTGTATTGTTTCATCGTTTTTTCCTTCTAATTTTGTATTATTTTCTAAACCACACACTGTTATTTACTCAACAATAAGACACAATTATCCTTGTGTTTATGTATTTGTTTGATTGTATAATGTCAGACTTTCGGAGCAGCTCATTCGAACACAGGAAGCTGTATTTTCAAAATAAGAGTTCATTTTAATATTATGTTTGATAATATTATTTGTATTAACTAGACCACTGGGTCATGTTAAGACCATCTTTTCTGTCGGTTTGGTGTTAGAAATATAAAAAAAATATATGTGTGGATAACAAAATGCATCCATCATAAACTAAACTGGAAACAGCAGTATATGTTATTGTTTTAACACTGTAAACCTGTTAAAGAGTGCTTTAACCGCCTAGTGGTTAAAGCACGTTCTTGAATTGTTTTGTTGATACGTTCTCTTTGATGAAAACATACAAATATTAAGAGTACATACTTTCATAGGGGGAAAGTAGAAGGTCAATGATAGAAATATAGAATAGAAAATATCAAGAAGATACTGTAAGTGATCTCTACAATAAAACAGTTTAGTGCCGGATGTCCAAAGACATTAGCAGGAGGATGTGCAAAACAGACACACTAATTAGGCTTTATTTAAACATTAAAGAATACTTTAAGTTAAGGTCTTATTTTAAATAAGAAAAAAGCTTTGGGGGTATCTACAGATAAATATTAAGCCTGACAAAGTACTTAACGTGTAATATATTGCATAATTTGTTTTGGGACTTGACAATCAACTTTCCTGCAATGTTAACTATGTTGAAGCACTTATTTTAACTGATATTATACATATTAATAATACTCTTATAAGATGTATGTAGATAGAATTAAAAAAATGCAGAATATGACAGTTTAATGGTGGAGGTATACACACATATCGATAGATGTCTTGTAATGCACTGTTGAGGAACCTGCGACCCAAGTTTTTCATCTCCGACCTTGTCAGGTATTGAACATTCAATAAATGAAGAACACAGAATTATTCAATTTAAAACACAGAATTTGTGTGATTATACTAAATGATTTACAAATAAACACCACTGCATATTTACAACTGTTACACATGCTGATGTAACGCAAATGTTTCCAACTTGGGATCAATAAAGTATATCTTATCTTAAGATGATCGATGGCTACTGCCATATTTGCCTCTGAACCTTGACAAGTGCATGTTTCAGGCTTATCAATGAACAACAGGAGGGGTCACAAACATAAGACCAGCTGTTAAATAAAGCTCTTCTGACCTTAGCTGGCATGTGTGTATATATATTAATGCTGCCCATTATGGACACAAGCAATTTTCACCCATTTATTAATTATATGTTTTAAATTTGAGTGTTTCCTATCCCCTAAACCTCCAGGGGTGTACACAGTTTAATACTGAAAACTTCTTATTATGGGAAATACGAAAACGTCTTTTAAAACTACAATTCCCAGTAGAGACGTGCCATAGAACATATTGCGAAACACACAGGGCCGCCCCTGGCCAACTTGGGGCCCCAAGCGACATTGTGAGATGAGGCCCCCCCCTGCTACCGACAGGAGTGAAACACATTTTTTTGGAAACAAAGTAGGCTACTTTGCAAATATAATTCCTGTTTATTATTAGTATCAACAGTTACTTTTGTATACAGTGAGGTAAATGCTAAATGTGCAGGTACGTCTGTATTTCCTGCCAAATACTAGCCTCAAAAAGATTAAAATATAATGAATGCAAATAAACTACTTCTACTAATAATAATCATAATCATAATCAATTCAATAATATAAATACTATATTATTTTATTATAATTTAGTAATATAGTCAAGACAAAACATGCTTATGACATGCTCAAAAACTGATATTTCTTAAATCTGTATTCAAATGTAGTTCCCTCTGTCAGCAATGTATCAACAACTACACACACATTTCTCTCAGTATTTCTCTGTGTTGTGGTTGACATGATGATAACTCTTAGGAGTTAAGGGGAGAGGCTGAGCATCACCATGAAATGTGCAAATTGACATAAAAATGAATAAAAGGGGGAAAAATGCTCCATGTTTTTTAAGCTGTAAACTTTAACTGTTATGTAAGCCAACTAGACAGACAGTGTATCACTCTTCCTCCTGTACATTAGCAGATAAAAGGCATAACATAATGAATGTTAAATAAAGAATGCTGGAAATAACTGCATCTTAGCCTGTATGCTCTGCAGAGACTGCCTTCTTCATGTCGTGAATTGCAGCTGATGTTTTAATATGGCAATTGGCAATTTGACTTATACAACATTCGCAAGTTGTACATTTGACTCATACAATAATTTCACCGACATCTCTTCACCTGCACTAGTGGCCGTATCAAAGCCGTGATTCGTCAGATGTCGATTCATTGCAACGGTGTCGGGTAACAGACGTGCTCCCCTTCTCACCTCACACTCTCGCGGGGGGTGAGCGGAGAACTGAGTGGAGAACTGCGCACAGCAGCTGAGGCCCTGTGGGCGGGGCCCCCTGCGCAAGGCGGGGCCCCATGAAGCCTGCGTGATTGGCCTGTAGGGAGGGGCGGCCCTGGCACACAATAGCCAGCATGCTGCATGTGTAGTTCTGGGGACGGGGTGGGGGAGGGGGGTTGTGGACCCATTCCAATCCAGTTTTTGATAGTGTGCCGTGGTTTCATCCCATTTCAAAGTGCTGTTTGGCGCTCGGCGTAACCCTCGGCACACTGCCACTCAAACATCCAATCACAGAGCTTGAGGACTCATCACAGGGTTTGTCGGAGAGAATACTTACTTCCGGGTGTAAAATTCTCTTAAGCAACTATGAGCTGCTCCGACTGTCGGTCCTGACCATGGATGTATAATAAGAACTAGATACAGCGTGGGAGGCGGGGCCTCATTCATTCCTATGAGAGCTGCTCATTGGCGCATGAAGATAAAATGGGCCAACTTTTGAGAGAGCGAAACATCACAGATTACCCGTCATGCCTGAGAAGTACCCGTATGTGCGCTCATAGAGCATGCGCAACTTTAACCACGCCCCCCAAAAGGCTTGCTCACATTAAGCACGTCAATTTGCGTACACGTAACAGCACCGCGCGTTCATGACAGCATGGTACTGGATTGTTATTATGGATTTGATATTAACGAGGCGGCCGCGGCAGTTAGCAGCTAGCGGCTAGCTAGTAATTAATGCTAAGTTACACATCAATCGTTATGTACTTTTATATTACGCTGATAACAGGATCTAGTGATATCCAAGCAACAGAGCTTAATTTAGCATGATACTTGTGTGGGTTGTACATGAAACCACTTGGTAATATATAAAAATGTATGTATGTTGAAGCCTGTTATGATCAATTGGGAGTTAAATCTTATCTAAAAAGTAAAGCTGATGATGGATTACTACTGTGGTGGAGTTAAAATAACAATAGCCTATTTCTCTTTGAAATGTGATAGAGTAAAAGGATAGTAACTGTGACTATTCATGTTAAGTACCCCACAAGTAACAGAAATGTATAATACTTGAAGGAAAGGTGTAAAATGTTTCCATAAATACCAATATCACACACTACAACACAGACTATAACACCGCTTTTTGTTAAATACCAACCATGTGTATGTATATATATATATATATATATATATATATATATGCTGCTAAAACTGTGTAATATACCAGGCTGCTAAATTCTCCAAACTGTTAGTCAGAACACGTAACAGGTCCCGTGGGTTAGATGCGCGTTCATAATGCAGAGTAAAATAACTCTCAGAATAACGTTATTAGCACATCTTACAACTTGAGGACCGAATGTTTTTAATAAGGGCTATACAAACGTTCATACTGGGTAGTTTATTTAGTTTAAAATGTATCCAACGATTTACAGACCACACTTTCCCAATGTAAGTCAATGGGAAAAAGTGTGTCCGGGCCCAGCAACCTAACGGAAGTGTAGTACTGACGTTTGGCCACAACGAATATTCTCATCAGAGTCCGGCGCACTTCCTGGGGGCTTGGTCATGACGGACTCCAAAGGTCCGACATTATGCAATCAAACAAATAAATAAACACAAGGATAATTGTGTCTTATTGTTGACTAAATAACAGTGTGTGGTTTAGAAAATAATACAACATTAGAAGGAAAAAATGATGAAACAATACATATTTTAGTATTCTGAACCCCTACTCTCCCCCTAACTGACGGCAACAAAAGTCCGACATTATTCAATTAGAAGTAAACACAATAAGTGTGGCTTGACATTGAGTAAGAAAAAGGTTGATAAATGCTGTGAGAATGGATTGCGGCAAAATGCTCGCCGCGATCCATTCTCACAGCATTTGTGAGACTCGTCTATTACCAACGTTCAGGGAGCTCTATGCAAGTCAATGGGAATCCCTGATAGTTGAAACTCGACGCTAAAGGGCCCCCTTGCGTTGGAAAGTGACGAAAGGGACCCTGACATAACATCAACATAGGCCGACTTGGGAGTGAGAATGTGTTGCCCGAGACTGGGGGATGACAGTTGACCTGGAAAGGTAGTAGAAGATTCCACCACACAGCATCAAGTCCATTGAAACCAGACCTCATATTGGACTCTGAGGACACTAGACAGCTCATCTTGATGGGGCTGTGCCCCATGAGGAAAAGGATGGAGGAGGCGCGAGAGAGAAAGAGGGCAAAGTTCCAGGATGTAGTTCAGGACTGCCGCAGGATCAATTGGAAGACCAGGTGCATGCCAGTGTACTCAGCAGGACCTATGGAACGCTGTGCATCAAGGGAGCATGCAGGAGAAGAGCCATCAAGAGCAAGGCAGCAGAGAGAGCATCTACTGTAACTGAATAAGGGTGACCAAGTTTGAGCATCAGAACATGTATGAAAGAACTGAAACACCCTGGTAGAACCTTCAAGAGGCGCTGAAGGATCCACCAGGCCAAAATTAGGTGCTTGACAGCGGAAATGACAACAAAGCGCAGAGAAGTAAGTTCTGGGGAGACACAGGAGGAGCTAGGGCCGGAGGCAATCAACAGCGCCCAGATCCTCCCAGTGTGTCGCCCCCACAGCAATGGACTGTATATTGAAAGTAGACATGGTCACCACAACATCATATCCTTGTATTATTGTCTTGTTTTACCCATGGGAAACGTCCGATACCTGCACATAATGCACATGTATGGCATATTATAGAATCAGGAGACATTTCTAGCCCATGTAAGTCAAACTCTGATCAACAAAATGATGAGTAAAACTCACCTCTATGATATTGACGATGTGATACGGCAGCCAGAATACTGCAAAGGTACAGATGATCATCAGGATGAGGCGGCTGCCTTGTGCTTGGCCCTGGAACTTGGCACTCTGCAGATGACAGATGACGGAGGAGTTACAGGTGTTGATGAGGGAGAAAGGCAGCAGGAAGCCCACGATGGTTTCAAACAAGTACTGGAAGACCCGGTGACCCTTGCTCTTCCAGTGGTATGGCACGCAGAAGCTCAAAGTGATATTGTTTGGGAAAGTACTCCTCATCTCCAGTCTGTAAATTAACATAATCAATGTTTGAACTCATTACAGTATTACCATTAAAAACTAGCCTTTATAAAATGAGAAACTAGATATATTTCAAGAAAAGACACATGTTTGTCTCACCTGCGGTAGAAAGGCATCGGGACTGACAGGAGCAACGCTAACACCCAGACAACGAGCAGCAGAATCAGGAGGGAGCGCTTGGTTCTCATTGTCTGGAACAGAAACGGCCTGGACACGGCCAGCCAGCGGTCCATGCTCATCAGGCAGATGAGGTAGATGGACACGTACATGTTCACACTCGATAGGTAATGCACCAGCTTGCATGCTGCCGAGCCAAACTCCCAGCCTCGTCCTCCAGCCAGGTAGCGCAGGAAAAAAGGGGCGCTGAGCAGCACGAAAGCATCCGCCATGCTCAGATTCAGCACCAGCAAACAGGTCACTGAGCGCTTCTTCACCCGGCACAACACTGACCAAACAACAAACAGGTTCCCAGGGAAGCCCAGCACAAAGGCCAGGGTCAAGATGGCGATGCCGACCATGGCGTTGATGGACAGAGGAACAGACGAAGAGGAGGACTGCTGGGAGATGGTGGTGGTGATATTGGATGCCATCAGGAAAGCCTGAGAAGAATCTGAGTGAGGCTTTGACCACTGTGACATTTACACAACCTTTTAAACAGAAAATGAATTAGGTGCCAATGTGTGTCAATGCTTCGAAAGGTTACAAATGTTTTTACCTTATCTGCTACTCTAAATCTACACTACCTATTTATAGAAAGTGATGTTGCCTGTTATCAGAAAACATGGACCTCAAAAGATCATTAACTGCCTTTTTCCAGATAGTAAGGATTGATACGATATCACTTTTTAAACATCTTGATAACAAAGATGCTTGAAATGCTTCAGCCTATAAGGCTTTTGTTTGTTGTATTTGAATTATGTGCAGCACACAAATGGAAAATTACGGTACATCAATACAAAAGGAATACTTTTACCTAATTTCTAGATTAATGTTTCACTTCATGCATGTTGTCCCTACTTCTATTTCATTTGTATGCCATTTGCCAAATAAGATAGAGGGGAAAGCTTCACATTTATGATATATCTTTTAATTTCAAGTTTTTCTGATCAGGGTCAAAGGACACCATTGAAATGTAGACGAATATTTCCTTTTTTTCTCTTATACCTGGGAGACAGCCCATTGTAAGTATAGGCACATGTTCCCAAATTGTCTCACAAATTATTCTGAGAGTGTTAGTGTAGTTTTAGACCAACAAATTACTAACAAGGCAACCTATGGAAAACTGTGAACTTTTGAACTTTATTCTAAAAAACTAAAATCTATATTTAACTTCAAATCTTCCTGTCTCCGGGCAGACAGCAACAGAGAGCTGAAGTCTTTGTGTTGGAAAACAGAAACAGTCATGTTCATGAGTATTTTTAACTTAACATTTAGTTTTGTCTGACTGATTTAACATTTTATAAAAATATATTGAGACCTTTCCTGATCTGCTGTTAACTCCCAGGCTTTATCCTTTGAAGAGTGTGGAGAGAAACAACAAAGTTCAAATATTGTTGTAGCGGTTGTTCCTCCTACTCATTGCTTTATGCTTATATGATACTGGTAGTGTATGCATTCCAGCTTGATCGAAAACATGTTGACACCTGAAACCTGTGTGGAACACACACAATCGAGGCAGCGAAAACAGTTCCTCCTTATGACAGAAAATAGTGAATATCATGGAGAGAAAATCTTGTAGAACTGGTGGCATTATTTCAGAGAAAAAACAATACAATTATCGTCACAGGTAATCGTCATGAGGGATATTTAGTCGGTGAATATTCCAGCAAGCTGTCAGGATCTTGTTGGTACATGAGTGTTGAAGCATATCTCTGCCATCTGCATTATCTGCTCTTTCACCAGAAATCTTGGCAGATGTGCAGCATATTCCTCGTACATACCACCCCCGTTACCTAACGAAGTTGAGATGTGTCACATTTGCATTACAAGATGGTAGCCTTCATTTTAAATTTTTTGTATTTTTCTTTGTTCAGAGTGAGAATTAAAACATTTCAGTTGAGACTCACTATTGAGTGTTTAAGCGTCGCTCAGCGCATTGTTTTGACATTCATGCCAACAATTCACTGTTCTGATTAACCCTCACTGTTCTCATAATTTAAGCAGAACAAGGACGTTTTTCATGTAAAAAAACATTCTTAAAAAAAGAGTGTACAATACCTGCTTAGCACCAAGTGGAAGACGGACAATGGAAGTGGCTAACTGGTGAACAGAAGCGTTTCGGCAGATTTTTTTTTCAGGAGACCATCATCAAAAACTGAATTTACCCTCAACAGCAAAAGTGTTGACATAAAACAGAGCTACAAGGACAATGAATGCTTTAGTTGCATTTATCAGTTGGCCGCAAACGCGTCTCCAAATAAATGTTTACAGTGCAATGTCTCGATTGGTAACTGTTGACTCACATTAAATCAACTTTTACACAGATTATATGATTTAGCCAACAAATAGTTTCTGTCACTGTTTTCATTCATTTTGACATTTTGGTGTACAGTATGTCAACCCAGTCTCATGGCATTTCGTGTTCACCAACACGATTTTTAATCTATTGATTCGTGTTCACCAACACGATTTCCCCCTTTTTTTCGTGTTGCACAGCACGAGTTGAAAAGCAATGTATTTCTACTGCCTGCAGCACGTCTTTTTCTCCGGTCGGGTCGTGGAAGACCGGAAGCTGTGTGGTTCATAAAAACATGTTCTTACTCAATATCAAGCCACAATTATTGCTTTTATTTTAAATCGTATAATTTCGGACTTTTGTTGCCGTCTGTGAGGAAAATAAATGGGGCTCAGAGCCTCAGAATACTGAAATTTGTATTTTTAAATATTTTTTTCCTTCTAATTTGTTATTCTTTTCAAAAATAACAAACTGTTATTTACTCACCAATAACACACAATTATCCTTGCTTTTATTTATTGGTTTAATTCCATAATCTCGGGCTTTTTTGGCGTCTGTCAGGAACTGAATTTCAAAATAAAAATAACCAGAAACAGACGTAGGCCTATAAGGGACATTTCGAGCATCATTGCGATTGTCAACATTTCTGAGTTTAGGATGGCCGAAGACACTACACTACCCATAATCCCCAGCTATCATTTAGGACTACAGTCCCCATAAGGTTACGCAGAGCGTCAAACAGCTGTGTGAAATGGAACGAAACCACGCCAGACTATCCAAAACTGGAATCGAACGCCCCCCCAGAACTACACATGCTGGCTATTGTGTTTCGCAAAATGTTCTATGGGACGTCTCTACTGAACGTTTTCATTTTTCCCACAATTAGAAGTTGCCAGTATTAAACACATTGGTGTTATCAAATGTAAAACATATAATTAATAAATGGGTGAAAATCGCTTGTGTCCATAATGCGCAGCATTAATATATACCCACATGACAGCTCATTGTTACTTTGTAATTCTACTCCACTACAATTCAGAGGTTAACCTGGTATTTTTACTCCACTACACTTATTTGAGTTACTTTGCAGATTCTGATTAATTATGTGAAATATAAACAACCCTTAAATCAGACTTTAGTTGCACCTGAGTAAAATTCAAGGAAGGTGATTGTCAAGTGCCAACAATCAGGAGAGATATTTGATAGTTGGTGCTTGAGAAGACTAAACATGTATCTGCAATTGACATGAATGGAAACGAGTAATAAAGTATATTCATTACTCGTTATTCTCTACTAATAGTTAATTAAAGACTGTATATTATGGCTATTTTGCACATCCCTTTCAAGATTTTCAAAGGTTTATTGACATATCATATACACAACTACGGTGTAGTTATGCAATGAATGAAAAACGTGGGTCACAGGTTCCTCAACAGTGCATTACAAGACATCTATCAATATGTGTGTACATCCAACATTAAACTGTCGTATTCTGCACATTTCTTATACTATCTACATACATAAGAGTATAATTCATATGTATAATATCAGTTAAAATAAGTGCTTCAACAAAGTTAACATTGCAGGAAAGCAATATATTAGACGTTAAGTACTTTGTCAGGCTTAATATTTATCTGTAGATAGATACCCCCAAAGTTTTTTTTTAAAAGAAGACCTTAATCTAAAATATTATTTAATGTTTAAATAAAGGTTAATTCGTTTTTCTGTTTTGCACCTCCTCCTATTAATATCTTTGTACATCCTGCACTAAACTGTTTTATTGTAGAGATCACTTATAGTATCTTCTTGATTTTTTATATTCTATATTTATATATTTATACTTTTCCCCTATGAAAGTATGTACTCTTAATATTTTTTTAATCAAATATAACATAAAAACAAGAATTCAATAACGTGCTTTAACCACTAGGAGGTGCACACAAGGTACACACAGCCATAATAACTTTATATTATTAGTGTATAGACACTTATGTATGTACAACATCTGAAGATGTGTAGTTTTATTCATGCTTTCACATAATTTTACAGCATATTGCTATACTATTTCAGACTCAGTATTTACATTCAAAGAAAATCAGTAATATCTTTAAAAACTACAAGTCCTTTTATATCAGCTGTGCACCGTTATGGTGTAAATACAGGGGCGGATCTACGGGGGGAGAAAGGGGGGGCAGCTGCCCCCCCACTGTAGAGCCTTGCCCCCCCAGCTGCCCCACTAATTTTGTTTCCCTAAAACTGTACTAAAACAAACCTACACTATTTCCACAAGCTTCTCAAGCAACAAAACAAGCATTACATTAGTTAAAATTGAATCATTTTAAATATCATTTTAGGCCCGTTAAAAACGCAGCTACGGCCCTGCATTAAACTGTGGAGCGGCGTTCACACAGACCGCGGCTCACACCGCTGCAGAGAGGGAGCGAGCTATCCCAGCACCTATGGATCAGCTTCCCCTGGGAGCATTTCCGTTTCCACTATATTTGTTTTTACTAAGGACGAGAGCTTGAAACTAAATATTAATAAAACGCTGCCGTTTGAATCGATAGCGTTTAACAGACGGGCGCTGTTTGGGGCGTTACGTTACAAAATACTACGCAGACAGCGTTAGCTGGGAGATCGATCACTTTGCTAAACTATGCGGTAGCCTACTATTAAATCCACGTAAACTACACATCACAGCCATGAGGCCAGATCAATGAAACCAGGATACATCCTTTACCGTAAAAAATGGATCCAAACACAACTGCATGTGTGCGCTTGATCAATACTTTCTGATGTTATATTTATGATATGCTACATATTAGCTAGGCTACATGGCCCTAACGTGTAAAGTTATACAAGCATTTGTACCAGTGCTTTTCACAAGTAGACTCTTGCAGGCCAGAGTATAGGAGTGATTCAACAACAAAAAGACATATCTGAGAAGTGATCAGGACGAGGAAAAGGAAAAGAGAGCTGAAGAGACCAGGAGGAAGAGGAGGAGATGAAGACATTAGTGAAGAAGAAGAAATATATGTGAGGAATAAAGATGAAGTATCAGAAAGAGGGCCAGAGGCAGGGATCAGGAGGCAGATGAAACTCCAGCTGGACCACATGGTATGTTCTTATTCTCCTTACATATTCCATTACAGCAGCACAATCTAGCAGCTCTTAGTATTGACTAATATTGATTGAAATGTG